ATAAAGTTTAAATATAGTAATAAAAGGTCCATGTTGATGGTCCAAAGACTTTAAAACCTCAGAACTGACGCTGTATGAGGGGCGCGGGACAGAATCTCTCTGCGTTCTGAGAGTCGTCCCAACACTGTCCACTGACTCCTGTGAATCTTCACTCTCTGCTATGGTGGAGATCGAAACACACAAACAAACGCTCTCCACTTAATGTTCTTAATTGTGGCTTACTTTCAACAGCACATAAAACGCAGTGTTGGTAGGGGTGTCTGAGGTGTATACCTGCACAGCTGGATCTGTGGGGGACTAGGATGACCAGACGCGGAGCCGACCTGGATCACACACGTGCACCTGGACGTCTGTCCGTTGGGAAGCCCCTGGACCAGTGTTACCGGTGGGACCTGTTCCCTGAGGGAGACCGTACGTCATGGTCCATCTGAAATCAGAAGTGATGTCACCATGCATACTGCCATGGCACTTTATTGTTGCATTTCAAATTGACATTGTTCAACATTTTGGAAACTCAACTGCACTTTCCTGAGCAGAAAGGGGCTCCTTCTTCAACACCTTAAACGTTTTACACCTGCGTTACCTGGGCCAGAGGTAGCGATCTGAGCCTGGGTGATGTGCTGGGTCTCCGTTCCAGTCCACAGCAGCCTCCGCCCCCTTGCTGAACCTCTCACTGACCTCCATCCTCATCGCGTTGATGGCCTGCGGAGAGACAGATTTGGAAAAGAGAAGCCCGGTAGAACTGCAATGTTTGTTTGCAGCAACTCAGAAAACCACTAGAAACAAACTCAAAATACGGCAACCGGAAATAAATCATACAAGCTTGTCAAATGGAACATCATTTCTGAGGTAAATCTGTTGCCCTTGAAAAAGGTCGGATAATAGACTCAAATCAACTTAAATCTGTGCCAGAAACTTTTTTCCTACTGGTTTTGTTCTTTTAATATAATTGAATGCTGTGAGTGTTGTTCTTTGATCTGTATTTGGGTGAAATATTTGCTGCTTCAATGAGAAGCTGATATTAATAAATCTGTCAATAACAACAGCTTTAATTTCTATTTGTTACCATTCTGCCACCCCATTCAGGAACAGGGAAATGGCTGATCTGTTAACGAATACTCAGTATAAGGCAAGTATCATTTATGGAGCACCTTCACACATCGGCAATTCAAGAGTGCTTAAAAATAAAATAAAAGACATTTAAGATAAATACAGCAGAAACACAGTATAATGGCATTAAAAACAGGCATTTTAAAAAGGCAAGAATATAAAATTAAACACCAGGTATACAATACAATGAATAAAANGGGTCGGAGTACGTTTTTAAAGGGAAAAAAAACACTTAAAGATGATGTTTAATTTAAGCCATATATGCACAGGATATTAGTGATTCTTGAGCCAATAACTGCCTAGTTATTGGCTCAAGAATCACTAATATCCTGTGCATATATGGCTTAAATTAAACATCATCTTTAAGTGTTTTTTTTCCCTTTAAAAACGTACTCCGACCCTGCTTTTGTATTCCATCCGTATAGCTCATTATTATTGCCTAATGATTCAAATCCATACCTCCTTACTGCATGATGTGCTGCTATTCAATGCATTGTGCTGGCCTTTTGTAAGAAATTAGTGGATTCATCTCGCTCCAGTTCATTCCTGACCTGTCCTCTGGCGTAATTCGCCTTCACGATATTAATGGTTCATCACATGCATCACACACTGCATATATATATATATATATATATATATATGTATATATATATATTGACAAGCTGCTTTATTTAAACTATAATAATATACAATACAAAATTAAACAGTTCCAAACGCTGGATGCCTCTTGAAGATTCAGTTCATGACTTGTGATAAAAATAGCTATTTTACGCACAGATGGTGACTTCCATAGAGTCATGCATTGTAAGGTTGATGGTGAACATCATGGTAAGAGTCATCAGCAGAGACTCATCAGTAAACACAAGTGTCCTATTTGCTCCAAACAGGAAATGCCAAACACATTCAAATTCCACTCTGGAGGATGACATGCTGGGATGTATGGCTTTTAGTCTTGGTTTGGTAGAAACTAAACAAAAACCCAAATCTCCTCAACTGCAAGAGTCAGATTAGAATGGCACTGATCAGCAGGTGTGTTTAGAGGATGACACAATATTCTCCATAGTGGCAATAAGACACAGGAATGTCTGATAAGCCTTCTGAAGACACAGTGTTAGCTGACAGATGATAAAATCAGCTATGAACAATTGGCTAGAAACAGATATTTAGCTTTGTGAGATCAAAGATTGATTAAACAATAACTAAGAATTTGAGAGGTAAATCTGCCACCATTACATTAAACTGCAAACATGCATCAACGGGAAGCTTGACAGGGTTAGCAATGGTAACAGAGGGGGGGGGGCTTAACAAATTAATATGACATAAAACAAAGAAGCATGAGGATTCCTGTTTTTGGCAATTATTTATTTTCACATTCTGATCCTGTGCTGCTCTTTCCAGAACTCAGCAATCCCTTGTGACAGAGCTAACTCTGCCAGGCCCCTGCACTCGTGGGGGGTAAACCCCACCAGCGCTGTGTTCTTTGTTCCAATCCCCTGCCTCCCTGCCAGCTCTGCCACTCTTGCAGTGATCAGAGAAGCTGGAGCATGGCAGTAGGGCTGGCCCTGGATGCTGAAACTCGGCCATGGTTCTCCTGCAGTCATGTTGCTAGGGTAACGCCCTTTCACGCTTTCCACATTACATGCGATTTCCACAGCGCCATCATGTGGCAGCGCCAGCACCTGCACCCCCGGCAGCCCCCCGGTGGTCGACTCCCTCATGGCTGTGGCGATGCTGCGTCCTAAGGCTAAGTCCTGGGTGTCAATAGTGACGTTGCAGTTAATAACATATGGGCTGGCTCCAACACCTGCAGGATCACAGAAACAAGATAACATTTTCATACTGAATATTGTTCCAAGTTAACCTTTTGCCTCATTTCCACAGCATGGTGTTGGATCGACTCGCATACGTTTGGTACCAGGTTATTTAACCCAGTCTCACAAAAAAACGTGAAATAGCTACGTTGGTCCACAGGGCAAGACGTAATATCTTCAAAAATAATCGTCTCAAACCGTGACACTGATAAAAAAAAAAAATGTCCCATTAATTTCTAATGACCAGTGTCCATGTCACGTGATCGCAAACTTTCCCAGCATGAGAAAAAAAAACATCGCGGTCACCCGACTTATTTTTTGTGGAAAATCCTAAATCATAGGATAGTTTGGTCATTAAAATGCTTTTTGATTCGATTTCTAGCGAGAATGTATATTGTACTTTTAAAATCTACGTCAAGTGGATGTGTAGGATCTATTGTTTGATAGATATTATGAAGATTATTTGAGGTCTCGCCAGGAGAACGTGAATATACTACGTATTTTAACGATAGGGCGGTGGTGGCGAAGTCAATAGGGACTTGGCTTGGGAACCGAAAGGTCCCCGAAAGACCAAGTGCTGCCGAGGTGTCCCTGACCAAGGCACCATTTCCTACACTGCTGCCCGGGCACCGTACATAATGGCAGCCCACTCCTCCGAACACTATAAAACCCCAGTGTCAGTAGCCTCTGAATTTCTATCCACCAGGGCCTGCAATGAATTTGCCTCCTAACGAAAATCAGATAAGCATTCAGTGCCTCTGTGTCAGGTACAGCAAATGTGTTGTCCCTGTGTCCACTTAAAATCAATTCAAACATCATGACATTCCATTTGATAAATGATAAAGACCTGGAGGACATTATTCAACATCTGAAATCCTCCTCCTGCTGCCTTGATATTATACCTACAGGCTTTTTCAAAACTGTTTTTCATTGCTTGGCCTCAGATCTACTTCACATAGTAAACAAGTTTCTCCACTCGGGTGTTTTTCCTCAGGCCCTGAAAACTGCAGTCATTAAACCGCTCTTAAAAAAGCATAATCTAGATCAGGGGTGCCCACACTTTTTCAGCAAGGGAGCTACTTTTAAAATGACCAAGCCCAAATGATCAACGACCTAAGTTATCCTATCTATGCAGATGACACCCAAATTTATATAAAAATGTCACCAGGAGACTATTCTCCAATTATAACACTGAGTAAGTGCATTGAGCACATCAATGACTGGATGAGTAGGAACTTTCTACAATTGAACATAAAGAAAACTGAGATTATTGTTTTTGGAGCAAAGGAGGAACAAATAAAAGTAATCGCAGAGCTTCAGTCGGCAGACTTCAAAACAACAAATAAAGCACGAAATCTAGGTGTAATCATGGACTCTGACCTGAATTTTAACAGTCACATTACAACAATTATTAAGTCTGCATACTATCACCCTAAGAACATATCTAGGATTAAAAGACTAATGTCAAAGCAGGATTTGGAAAAACTTGTCCATGCTTTTATCTTCAGTAGACTCGACTACTGCAATGGTGTCTTCACAGGTCTCACTAAAAGATCCATTAGAAATCTGCAGCTGATTCAGAACGCCGCTGCTCGAGTCCTCACTGACACTAAGAAAGTGGATCACATCACTCCAGTTCTGAAGTCTTTACACTGGCTTCCTGTGTGTCAAAGAATAGATTTGTAAATACTGCTGCTGGTTTATAAAGCACTGAATGGTTTAGGACCAAATTATATTAACGATCTCCTGCATAACTATGAACCATCCAGGAGTCTCAGGTCTTCTGGGACGGGTCTGCTCTCTGTTCCAAGAGTAAGAACTAAACATGGAGAAGCAGCGTTAAGCTATTATGCCCCGACCATCTGGAACAAACTCCCAGAATCCTGCAGGTCCGCTGCAACTCTTAATACTTTTAAATCCAGAATAAAAACGTATCTTTTTGCCGCCGCTTTTGATTGAGCTGTTCATATTCACACTGCAGTATGGCTTTTATTCATGTATTCTATACCTGTAGTGTTTATTTTATTATCTTTGCTTTTTAAAATGCCTGTTTTTAAATGCCATTTTATACTGTGTTTCTGCTGTATTTATTCTTAAATGTCTTTTATTTTATTTTGTAAAGCACTTTGAATTGCCGTGTGCTGAAAGGTGCTACATAAATGAACTTGCCTTATACTGAGTATTAGTGTAACAGATCAGCCAATTTCCCTGTTCCTGAATGGTGGCAGAAATGTGTAACAATAATAGAAACTTAAGCTGTTGTTATTGACAGATTTATAAATATCAGCTTCTCATTGAAGCAGCAAATATTTCACCAAATACAGATCAAAGAACAACACTCACAAGCAATTCAATTATATAAAAAAGAACAAAACCAGTAGAAAAAAGTTTCTGGCACAGATTTAAGTTGTTTGAGTTATTATGAACCTTTTTCAAGGGAACAGATTTAACTCAGAAATGATGTTCCCTTGACAGCTGTTGGGTATGATTTATTTCCGTTTGCCTGTATTTTGAGTTTGTTTGGTTTTCTGAGTTGCTGCAAACAAACATTGAGTTCTAACGGCTTCTCTTTTCCAAATCTGTCTCCGCAGCTCAACCGATGAGGATGGAGTCAGTGGAGGTTCAGCAGGGGGCGGAGGCTGCTGTGACTGAGACGGAGACCCAGCACATCACCCAGGCTCAGATCGCTACTCTGGCCCAGGTAACGCAGATGTAAACGTATTAGGTGTTGAAGAAGGAGCCCCTTTCTGCTCAGGAAGTGCAGTTGGT